GTAATTGCGTATGCACGTGCTGTTCCTTTTTATTCTTTACTTTTAGTACATTGAGATTAAGTACATTTTCAATATTTGAGACTATTCAAGTCTTATTTATTCATCAATTTAATTGTCGTTTGTGTCAATAATTTCTGTCTTTTCATCAAATTGCTATCAACAGTATTATCATGTTGAATACTCCATGAGATAAAGACATCAAATTTAGCCCTTGAGAATCTAAGTATTGAACTTATAATCATTGGAAAAAATATATTTCAACGACGTGAAAAAATGTAATTACTGAATTCCTTTCTTGAAATGAATGTTTTTACATATCTTCTCAAATACTCTCATTATCTTGTTTATGATTCTGAAAAAAATTATTGCTTGTAAGGAATCAATTTTTAATACACCTTTAAATATTTTTCACTCGGGGTGAAGGATGGTGTTAATAGAGTATTATTACGCTTATTTTATCCTTTTCTCAAATAGCATAATTATTAGGTGAATAATGGAAGGAATAATATTAATTAATCACATAAACAATGAGAGTATTTACATTGTAAAAAAATGATAGTAAGGTTTGACCTTTACATACTTGAAATCATTTAAAACATTCCCTTTTTGTTTTGTTCATTTAAATACATATTTAACCCATTTCTTAGTGTGTGTAGGCTTGAAGGTATGAATATATGATACTAATTAATTTGAAGTCTGCGTGCTTAGGATTTTGTATGAACACCAGTTGTATCCATTAATGTCTAATGTTATCTTATCGGTAAATATTATTTTGTAATAAAATTTATATTTTTCTAATTAATTATTAAAAATATTTCAATACATATTCATTAAATTAATGCATTTTTTTATGAATAATTAAAAAATAGATTTAAATTTTTTAATTATGCTTTAACATGCGTTTCTATTAATCTACCATCATGAATCCAAAATAATAATAATAATAATAATAATAATAATAATAATAATAATAATAATAATAATAATAATAATAATAATAATAATAATAATAATAATAATAATAATAATAATAATAATAATAATAATAATAATAATAATTTGTTAATACATAAAAGAGATTGTCATCATTAATTTTGATGTTAAAGTGAATGAAGTTATAAATAATTTTTCAATTGTAAAAATGTTTTATTTATGTTCGAAAAAAAAAATGAAATTTTGTAATAAAATGTTCTTTCGCACAGAGATAAGTATGATTGTCAATAAAAAATTTTTATCTTATCCACTAGATTTTATTTATCGTCTCTCAACTGTTTCTTCCAATCACATGACAAATAAATTCACAACAAAACATAACGATAAATAAAAAACTTTATAGATCTGCGATTTCTATAGAAATATAAAAGCCATAAAGCTTGTCATAACATAACATTCTTCATAAACTTTTATAGTGTGATATTCAACACGGGAGGAAACAGAGGAGCGAATTGGGTTGAACGGATTAGTTGTCAGGAGAAATGTACGATATGTGGGGCTTAGTTGTGATATGTATTTGTATATAAACATAAGTACATATGTGATATAAGTGTATATAGATATAATAGTGAATGTGGAGAATGCATGGAATTTAGTACGGCAAGCCTAGTCTCAAAGATATATACACAATCTCAAAGCCGCTCGACGACTCGTCGTTGGTACGTCGTATGTCGAGTATAACGATAATGTCAACGTCCTTGCGGTCTTTCGGGCCCTACCTATGTTTGCCTGGCGCACATTAGCGCTAATTAGCGCCTTCCTACGACATCGTCGAGACGAGAAAGTCTCTTCACTGAAACTACTTCTCTTCATCCTGCTGCGTGTCCTTCGCAGATTATTTTATCCTTACGATCTTTACTTCTATATACGAAGCTTGATAAAAAATGTTTTCAAATTTCCTCGTTACGACATTTTTTTACATTTTACTCTCCTAATAAATTTGTCTGGGGCAACATAAAAGTTTTATTTAACAGCCGGCATTTTTTTAAGCTCGTTAAATTATAGAGAGCATCTCTAAATGGACCATAATAGGTGAATTCAATATCAGAGTAATTTTGGAAAAATTGCAACGATGAGAATAGCATGGGCAGGAAGAGTAGCAGCACGTGGTTCGCGGTTTCTCGGAAGCACATAGAAAGGTCTCGCAGGTCGGAATGCATCTTCACTTTCCCTTGAACGCGTTCACGGATCGATCGATGCTATGAAATAACTTCGGAGAATCATTCTCTCAAGGTATACGACAACGTGGACCCCAAGACGATCGTTAAACTATAGACACAACCGCGCACCGACTTTATCCTACTGAGAATCATGTTACTCCTCCCTCATGCTGTAAATCAGACCGGAAGTTGCTGAAATAACGATCGTAAAATGTTAAGTTACCACACTATCAACTAAATTAAAAGATTTCCTCATTTTACATGACACTAACTTCGATCTTGGGTTCAACCAAATGAATATCAGCTCCAATGAATGTGTTGTCGAGAAAAATCGGTAATTTTACGAGTTGTAGTTTTATAGCAATCGAATATGAGAACAAAAAAAAAGTGATTAAATTGATTTGAAAGTTTACTTTTTTTTTGTGCAATAAAAATATTTGTTGAAAGACTTTATCCGATTCAACTTTCGGAATATTTCAGTCATGAAATGTTGTAATAAATTACTTTACTGATTGATTAATTGAAATTAATTAATTTATCTAAACGTAATCCATTAACTTCCCATTAAGAAATTATGTTAATCAAGTCAATTTTTGAAATACAGAAATTCGTCATATCTTTACATTTTAAGACATTTGAGAATACTAGAAAGTTTAAATATCAGTGCTCTGCAGTGGTCTGGGTGCGACCCGAAAGGTCCACACGACCAACTTCCCAGTGGAAAAAATGAAAAAACACCTTGAATAGAACCCGTTTCCAATTGTTTATAACAGATTTAATTGTTATAAACAAAAAGAGTGAGTTTCTATTTATGTTATACAGTTGGTAGCTTTTTTTTAGTAAAAGAAAAAATTGTGCGTTAGAAGAATTCAAATATACCTCATAGATCCTTTTTTTCATTATTTATAACAAATTACATTGTTATAAACGAGAAAAGTATGTTTTCATTTATGTTATACGGTTGGTAACATTTATTTAATAAAAGAAAAAATTATGCGTTAAAAGTATTCATATATATATAGCATGGATCCTTATCTTTATTGTTTATAACAATTTGAAACTTATTATTTAAATATTACCATGATCAATAATCATTTGTTAGTAACAATGTTCAATTGTTATGGACACAATTCCATATTATTAACAATTATTATTGACTATTATAGCGTCTTTAATGCTGTTTTCTTAATCCTGACACCAGTTTAAAATTCTTTCATTCCTGATTTTGTTTTTTAAAATTTTTTTTTTCGATGAAATGTTGTCATTACATTTTCATACAAGTATTCTAATCATTTGATATTCATATTTTTTAAAAGATTTTGAAATTTTGTCTAAAAAATGGTATAATTTATAAATTGCAAAATTCAGGTCGTTTTCCATTTTTGCTAGTTTTTTGGTTCTGCACAAAAAATGGCTGGACCGATTTTGCTAAAAATCTAATCAATTCTAAGTTACATAATTACGTGTCGAATACAATTGGTCCCACATCGATATGATTTTTTGTTCTCGAGATAATCGAGGCGAAAAATAATTCCGAACGCACATACGTACATACACACACAGACGTCCACTGGAAAACGGTCGTATGGGACTCTGGGGACCTTAAAACGTGGAGATATGTCAAGCGCAAAATATGAGATTCGCAAAATCGGACCCATTACTATAACTTCCCACTGAGAAGTTAAAAATAATTGGCTGTACATATGTCAAGTGTTAATTCATTTTCGATATCTTGTGAATTACGAAAAATATCAAATCCAGACCATTTTTATTAAGAAGATAATACATATAATAAAAAAAATCTTAAAAAAATTAAACTTAGTATAACCGTTTTTTTCTCACAACAAAAGAACTATAAAATATATCAAGCTTGCAGGCATTTGAAATTCTATTAATCAAATGATAAATATGATTAAAACATTTTGTCAATATTAATCAAATATTTTCGTTAATGACTTCATATGACTTATAATAATAGCATATTATTTATAACAATTTTGATTCGTTATAAATCATTAAAAAAAGATTAAGGTTATTATAAAATTAAAACAAAATAGTCTTGTGATAATAAACAGTGAAAAATAAAGTCACTGCTTAACAGAATATAATTATTTATTACGTAATATTAATTCTTACTAACCTTAAAAATAATATGAGAATATTTAATCCATGTTTTGTGGCTTGGTTGAGTAGTAAAATTTTCTATTTAGATAAACAATGATAATGATTAAACATAAAGCAAAACAAAAAAAATTTCCTTCATGAAAAATTCATTATGAAAGTTTCATCAGAGCTCAATGCCTACTTGTTTACATCGAAGGATGCGCGCAGTGGCAAGATCGGCATTGCTATACGGGGTTGCGCGAGAGATAAACAAGAGATCGCAATCTGGATAATGGTAAATTGTAAGCCACCCTGGGGATCTCCATCGTATGTACACTCGTAGTGTTGCAATGTATGAGGAATCTTTGAAATGATTCTTGTGAACTTCTTCCTGCCTGTACAGAACACAACACCATAAAACATTTTATATGTATTTAACACTTGCAATACATCAATAGAATTTCTCACATATCCCACATCATATAATATATATGCTTGATTCACACATGGAATTCATTCTCAAACATTTGTCGCATAAATTCTCAGCAATAAAACCGTATGATTTATTGATCATTTCACTTTCAATAAAACTTATGTAATTAACTATTTAAATATCATGTTATAATATTATATTAAATAAAAAAAAATTATGAAAAAATAATATACAAATTTTTGATTTTTTTATTTATTTTTATATTTTACATTGTTTGAAATAGATATGAAGGTAGAATTATGGGTCACTTTTTGTTTTTATTCATTACATTTTACTCTATTAACTTATCATCAATTTTCACTTTTCGAAGTTTCTCTTTATTGCCGATAAGTTATTTTTTCATATATTTGTGGATTAGCTGATGGAAGAACCACGGTGTTCGCATAATAAACGAATAGACTATATTAAAGCATTGCAAATCGTAGTGTTTTAAACATTTCCACATTTGAGATTCGCAGTGAAACTGGACCATAATCCTACCTTCTCTTCTATCAATAAATTTCGTGATATTATTTTTTTATATGTCTTAAATATATTTTACATAGATACTATAATTTATTTTTACTAATTCTACAAAACCATTGTTCCTTCCATTAACTTTTTGTCTACCACTGTTAAATAATCTACAATATATTATGAGCGCATAAAATAATACTTGATAGATATAGAAATGATGTGTGATTTAACTAATCAAAAACTGTCGTTCTTTTAATCATTTGTACATTATTTTGTTCTTCTGAATTTTCTGGTTTATAAAGCTCATTCGCCAGTCGAAACGAAAGTGAAATCTTTAGACTTTCAAGGGTTCTAAGAGCTTTTGAATTTGGTTCAACGCTCGACAACATTTCAATAGATTTATTTACACCATCTAACATCGCCTGTAGCTTGGAAGCTGTTAAAAGTGGCAAGTGTCCCGCATGTGTGACTTTATTGATGGGCTAAAAATTTTTTTAATATTATATTCATGTCAGTTTAAATCTTAATTTCCAGCAAAAATATCAAACATTACCTTTACATTACGGTAGAAACATGCTCGCTCCCCTTCGTGATCACTTTCAGCCGAAATCTACGTAAAAAAAGTCCAACATTATTTCTAGCTTTAATTTGAAAAAAGAACAATACTAATTATTTAAATTATTAAATAATTCGAATCAATTATAATTTAAACTAAGAGATTTATTCGTAAACTATTTGTAAAAAAAAAAAAAATGCTTACCAGATATTTAGCACAGTTAATCAGAATAATAATGGTAATAAAAAACAATAGCTTCAACATTTTTGATTATGGTGCTGGTTTCTTACTCGCAGTACGTTATTTTTTATAATTCATTAGACGACGTCGGCTAACGGTCTTATATATATCTACACACTATGACACTATCATGAATAACACTGAAAACAAATATTTTTCATGAATAAATTATCGATAAGGTTCAATCGCTAATCCAACAATGTTTCAAGTTATTAATACAGTTGTTTAACTCAATACTTACTTGGCATGAGACTAGACACCAATATTTAATATCTGTGAACACATTTTTGATTAAATAAAAAAAGTGTAAAAATTATTAATTGAAAATAGATTTTGTGTAGTTTATAAATTATTTCGATTACTTGTACATTATAATTGATTATAAGATTTACAGTAGTGATTGAAAATATTGTTGGAGGTTTATCCAATCTTGAACTACCAATATATGATATAATGCCTTCTCTTTCTTATATACTAGTATCAAGGCCTACACCATAGATATACTCTCAACTATCGCATTTACTTCGTACGTGACAGATTCAACGACGAGATTCCTCGTTTAGTTTTCTGACCGTAAATAATAACGCTCGTGAGATTTTCTCAGATGATTCGACCCGCAGTTGAGCCTTACGAGGAAGCTCCACACCATCTTTTCATCATATCTATCAACATCACAAATTAACAGGAATTTTTTTATTATTTTTTTTTTACTTGTTTTATCACTTTATCCCAAAAATGGGGAATGTTATTTTAATTTTTGAAATATAATAACAGGTAAATAGTTGAATAACTATTTGATTGAGAGGAGAAGTCGATTATTAACCTACAACTAAGTAAACCAAATATTACGCCCTATTTGTAAAATTTATTCATTTTCTTCTATTAAAATATTTTCATACTAAACAATAGCAACACCAAATATTTGTCATTTGTTCGACAGTTCACGGTAACTTACAAGCTTTAAATAACCCTTTTTTAACCTATAAAATGAATTGTTATTAAAAAATTTGGTCTACCTATATCAACTACCATAAAAAAATAGCTATGTCGTTTACTTAAATATTAATTACTTAAATTATTTAATTAAAAAAAAATTATAGTAATTATATTAATCAAAATTAACTTACAAAAATTTTGAATCTTAGAAATTAACTCCATTACAATAATTTACCTATAGAAAGATTAAAATACTGATTGGTATTAAATCACCCTAATCCATTAGAAGTCATTGTACTCGATCGAGTACAGCTATATTTTTAAGTGTCAATTACAGATCTCGTAAATTTCACTTGGGTTACCTAATTAGATGAGTTTATTATAACACTTTTCAAGTATATTCAACATAATTACGGGGGAATTTTTTTTAAAATTTTTTTTCTGAATTATGCCTTTCATGTTCTAATTACAATATGAAAATAAAGTGAATTTAGTATAAATATCGGTACTTTTTATTTGACCTCTAATGGGTTAAAAGTAATCCTTGAATCTTTCTAGTTCGATAGGATATATTATAAAATGCCACCATCATTGCACACAGCCATCTTTTGAATGGTACATGTAAAAAATTTTTTAATTTCCAATTTAATATTATCTCTTAATTGATTTTATACCTAACTACTTTGTTAATAAAAATGAAGTATAATATTTTTGTAAAGATTAAATGTTTAACTTCAAGAGGGTAATAAAATCCAGAGAGAAGTAAACTTCTCTGAAGAAAGAATGATTTGAAAGGCCATTAGGTTTTCTTTGTAGGTGGAAAGTATAGATAATTATACGCAAAAATATATTAAGCAATTTCTGTAAATGATAAAAGCTTTTAATGATAGCTTAAACATATAGAAAAACGTGTGGAACGCAGTAAGAAACAATTGAGAATCTAGTTAGAGGTTATTAGTCGGCTTGGAATGTTTTGATGGGGTGATGATCGAGGCCGCCGGCCCCATAGATCGTCACGGGTATGCTCATGACGATGATGGTGTGTGGACTTTTGCGAAATCATTAATATGACACACACTCTTGATTGTATAGTGCACGACAATCAGTACAAAATCACATATTGTGTCTTTTATTTCAGGGTCACTGACACCCGAACGACATCACCAGCTGTGACACGTCCGTTGTATTCTTTTCATTCTTTTCACTTTACCATATTCTTCTAAGGACTTATTAATCCTCTTAAGTCTTGCAATTGTCTCGACTTAAATCAGCTATTCATACTAATCTTCGTATCACAGACGGAGAATTTATTCAATTATACTTTGTCTGTGTTAATATTAACATTAAACTAAACAGTTATTCCTTATGCATACTGATTAATTGATGGGGAGGGTGGGGGGGCTTAGACCAATAGAGACTATTATTTTATTTACTCAGAATTGCAAGTTTTTTCATGTAAGACTAACTGTTTCTATTAATAGAGTTGATTGAAAATTTTTGTTATGAATACATTTATTTTTAAACAAATCAATGTTTTTTTATTCGTAAATTAATGAGTATTGGATCATTTGCGAAATCGTAAACAAAGATTTAACGTTGAATGAACATAATGTTGAATCAAAGAATAGTCAATAATGCTTTTATTAATTAATAATTTTTGATAATAATCATTTTTACGTTAAAAAATTCATTTCATATCAAAACTTCAATTACATTTGGTAGTCATTTAAATTCTAGTATTTGCTTATGGGAATTTAATATTGAACGCACTTTATCTAATTTATTTCAACACACCTAGAAAATTTTGGAGTACACTGTGGAGAAAAGAATTGTTTTACTATCCCGCAGAATGAATGCGACTATTTTTGAGCAATTCACTAAGATTATATTGCACTGCACACAGAGAGAATTTTTTTATCAAATTTAAGTGCAAAAATGACAAGTACATGTTTCGAAATTTAGATGTGAAAATATTTCTGTTCAACAATGAATTTTGGGTTGTCGTAAATAATTATTTTACTAAGACATCTCTTAAGTATCAAGTTGACTTACAAGAACTCAAAATTTACTATCGAATAGAAATATTTTTACTTCTAAACTTTGTAGGGTAATTTTCACTTAATTTTTCTTTTTGTGTAGTATTAGAGAAAATATCTTAATTTAATCTCAAATTCATCAATCAATTGTTATTAATCATCGTCTCTAACAATTTAATATTAATAGTGTCTACGATTTTAATTTCTTTAAATTAATCTCATCTACCTTCCTCTCTAAATGAAGTTTAAATGAAATCATTTATCTTTTTTAAGCAAATTCACTAATAAACATACTAAATATTCATTTGAAATTTCTAAGAATTTTATGCAACTTAAATCTAAACCTATTAATAGACATTAAAAAATCAATTAAAAATTAATAATAATATTTTTCTCTATTCAGTAATCTTTTTCCTTTCCTCTCTTTCGCTTCTTCTCTTCAAATAATTTATACCCTGCTTATATTGTTCATTAATTACATTCTCATCCAATCTATTTCTTTTTCTTTCTCATTTTTTATTATTTCCCGAACCCTAGACTGAGACCCCACGCCGACCTATCTCCAATCTACCCCACAAAATTGATACCATTTTAACAACACCAGTAAAAGAAAAAAGTATTTGAAAGGAGTAGCACTAGCCGCAAGCCTGAATCATCTTTCGAAACAATTAAAAAGTATTAATATTCAAGCAGAAAAGAGTTATAGCAGCCGGGAGGAAATTCTTGAAGAAGAAAGAGGGACGATCTATCGCGGTAAAGGAACAAGTTACTCTTAGCGATGCATTTAAGATATATCCATAGTCGTAATAATCTCCCTCTCTTTTCTCTCTGTTTAGACGTATATAAATTCGAATTTATTGGTTCGAGCATATTAATTATCCTGCGACGCGTTTGCCGGTAATAACGCCGCGGGGTTACGTGCTACTAGCAGCAGGTGCACCTGCATCTAGATGTTCGAACAACGTGCAAATGAATTTGCGACGTTAAATGTAAGATACAGAATATATACTTAGAATTGTATCAGAGATACACGTTCATCGCAATTACTTTTGCAAAATGTAGATGTCATGCCGGCAATTTATTTAACAAACCACACGACCTGCAACAATATCGTTTAAAGGTTTCAAAGAAATCATCATTATAATAATAATTAATAATTAATAATGATAATTATAAACCAGTGGATTCGGAGAAATTCTTAAGATTATTTTATTTGCGTACTATTTATGAATTAAATGTCCGAGAGACCGCGATTCCTATAACAAAGTGGTGTTAAATGATTAATTAAGGGATCCTAAGACATGAGACATGATTTACGTAGTTTAATCACGCACGCAAGAGAAACTTCGATTTTTTTCACATACATCTACATATATGTGTATACGCACATCTGACGCATCGACGAACATCCACGCGTCCATTATTACTTGACACAGGATATACATGCTGTTCTGGATAAATTACGTCACTCGATTTCCTTCAACAACACTCCACTTTTGCATTATTTATTTTCATATTTTCAATTCAAGAGTAATTACTTCCTGATTAAATTTACGATAGATTATTTTTCTTAATGGCGCTTCGTCTATCGATGAAGAATTCAAGAAAAAATGAAAATTTACATTATACCTAAGCGATAAATACACTGTTAGAACAAGTGTTTGGAATATTGAGATATGAAAAATGAAAAAATATTTTAATTGGTTGGAAAAAATTTTTACTAGAATTATTGATGGACTCATTTAATATTTATTGAATAATTCGAGTCATAAATAATGATTTTATTAAGAAATAAACTATTAATTATTATTTTTTTTTTCTACAAATCACTGGAATAATTTTAAAAGCCTTTAGAAAATTTGTAATCTTAAAATGTTGAAGAAAAAATTTTTTAAATAATTAAAAATCTTAATTAATGAAAATTATTAGACGTGATAAATCTAAATTTACGCAAATAAACGATTTGATTTATAATTTAATAAAAAATTAATTGAGTAAACATTTTTTTTTATAAATCCATAAAAATGTTTGCGTGAAGTAGAAAAGGAATTCTAAGTCAGACACACTCGAGAGTCAGCTCACGCTTATATCAATCGAGTAAAAAAATAAATAATTAAACCCTTTTAATATTTTTATACTTTTAATTGCATTCTTTCATTATTCACCGATACAATAAATAAAAAATATCTCAACGAAAGGAAAAAAAAGAATAAATAAAAATAAAGAGAAATAATTTTTTGTTAATAAAAAATTTTCTCGACTTGTAATTGGAAATCCTAGGGA